TCTGTAAGTTCTGAAACTCGAGAGAAATGTGTTGTAAAAGTTCTGTTTGCAGCAGTTAGGTTCTGAAGAGTTCTGACTCATCCTTGATGGTTCTGGGGATCTGGTTCCCCTGGGGCCTGCATCTCCACTGTGGGCCACAGTGGGCCCCAGCTTTGAGCGCAGGAGCAGAAGCAGGCTGGATCAGAAGAGGGAGAAAGAGAGAAGAGGCAGAATCCTGTGTGCTCTGTGGTTTTCTCTGTCTTCACAGGGAGGGGGTAGGTTTTCACACCTCTGTGACTTCCATGTGACTGCTTTGGCTGAAAAGGGGGGGGGGCTGCTGAAGTCCCCCAGCTGTTATTCACCAAAGCTGCGTTTTCTTCTCTGGTCATCCTATCAGGTTGAAATATGGACACTGGTTCTGACTGTCCAAAAGGTATGATCATGGCATATGGCATAACAATTAGCAACCTGGTGCCCCCACCACAACGCTTTCTGACTTGTTTGCCCTCATGTATCCACCCCATCTCAATTTTTTGTGCTGCCTTTAAAGTGTTTTTTGATTGATCAATCCTTGCTTTCCTTGTAGGCCAGTTTAACTGTTTAGATTCCTCACCATGACTGGCTGTTGCTGTCCTCATTTTCTTTCAAAGTCTTTCAAGAAGGGACAAGAACTTTTGTCTTCTCCTTTTTGCTTGTCCAGACAGTATCGTCTAGTGGCAATCCTGTCCCCATACACTGGTATATAGCGTGCAAGGCAGTCATCAGCTATTTCTCCCAGAAGTAATTTGTCAATCTATAAAGGAGCTTTAAGTTACTTGCCAAACTGTTTTACCAGAGTACATATACTGTAGTATGCATTTTTGTAATACTTAAAAAATGTTCTTTGCTATAGAGTAAATCAATATAAATTAATGTCTTATTTCGTGTTCCCATCATGCCCTTTGTAGCCCAACCCACAAGAAAAATGTAACCAAGATGAGATTAAGGAGATAAACAGAAGGCAATTATTTTGAGAAGAAAAAGTATTGGAGTAATTGAGTCAGAAATTGTGGACCCCACACGCTTAATAAAATAAAATAAAAAATGTTGTAGAGCCACACAGTAGGGGGAAGTCATGTTCCAACTTGTGTTTTAGGCTTCCAAACTTAAAAAACATATTTGCTCAGAAAATGCAGAATAAAACTGTACAAAACGATCAAAAATGCTTATAAACTAATTCTATTCACTTGCCTTAATTCTTAAGACCTAAAACTGCGGTCAAAAAAGGTGAAGCTCCGTCACATCAAAACCTCGAGGCTTGTTTACTGAACGTGCCTAACGTGAAAAGACCTTCGAACCCAGAATTTAGCCACGTCTAAAACGCTATTACCATGTAGCAGCAACTAGTGGTAGTATACATTTCTAACACAATTAATCTTATATCAATTGTGGGACTTACAAATGTTCTTTAAAAGCATTTCAGTAACAGCTCAAATGTTCTATTCCCATTCAAAAATGTGTATTTGTCTTGGAGACTCCAAAGGCTATTAGGTCTCATGCAACCTTAGACACTTAGTCCAGATTAAATGATCTAATACTTCCTAAATGCAACATGAGCAGTCATACATCACATCTTTATAGGTCCCAGTTTAGTATATTCTATGGTCATTTATCCAATTTGGTCTTAACAATGCCAACTAAAACCCCGTGTTAGCAATACACAGTCGTTATTAAGGAAATAGTAGCTCCATTCCTGACATGAATTACCTCGTCTTCTTTCATTTCAGTAATTTTCACCTCAGCAACACCTGGATGGAAACTGGCTGATAGCAGGGCACAAAAATCAACACTTTCTGAAAAGATGAAGAGTGTAGACTTTCTGCTAAATCATTCTAATGTAAAATATGACAGATTACTGGATTAAGGACATTTCAAGTATATGATATGATGTCACACATAACACTTTTTCAGAATTTGAAATATAGTTTATCCTTATTATGGGAGGAGGAGAGTAGATTATTGATATTTCTCCTGCCTGAAATAATCTGTTCCTCCTCCATAACATGGGAAGAAATCAAATTACCTGCAAATATTTAACTATGTTTATTTTTCTCTTCATCAACATTAAATCATGTGGATTTGGTGGCATTTGATTTCATTATTTTAAAAAATTTAAGGAGGGAAACCATATATTTTAGTCGACTGAAATAACGACTGTTCCCCCTTTGATGATCTTTATGAAATTTATTTTCTGTTTAAATGTTTATCTAACAATTTATAAATATTCAAAAAAAAAATGTAAACCAAAACCAGTGGACTTTGATTTTGCTTTCTATCAAGAAAGATTTCTCAATTCAAAATAACTGGAGCAGTGCTACTCCAATTTGAATTGAGAACTGAAAATACTTTTCATAAAGATCATCACACCAACATTCATATTTATTTTAACTATTTTGGATTTCAAAAATATAAAATAATAAATGTTTCAAACATAATATATCAAAATGATAGTTTCAAAATTCCCAGGATTTTGTTATTTAATCTCATGTTATTGGGGGGATGGATTATATCAGGTGGCTAAAATAGTTGATTTGGCTTTCACAACTCTGGCAAATAATGAACAGATGCTACTGAAATCACATGATTTGTTGTTGATAAAGACAGGAATAAGCACGGTTAAAAACTTGCAGGTAAATAAATGTCTTCCCATGTTATGGAGGGGGGATTGTTATGTGTGATAGCATGTAGTATACTAGAAATGTCTTTAATCCTGTAATCTGTCATATTTTACATTAGAACGGGATTTACCCAAAAGTCTACTGTCTCATCTTCACCCTCAGGTACCCTGATCGCCTAGAATCCTAGATCCTCCCATTAGTTGAGTTCAGTTTTGTTGCCTGCTCAGGTAATGTTCATTAAACTAACGTTATGCCCTAATCTGAGCCGCGAACCTCAAATCACATGACCTCTTGGACTGGACCGCAACAGTTTAGATTTTTTTATCGGCTATAACTTATTAAGGTGCAAGTGAAAACGTGGGAACATTGTTGCTATACTTAGCAACTTATCCATGTTAAAGAAAGTTGCCCCAAGACAGTACAGATTCTGCACCATGGACTAATATGACTAGTTGCACAGCAACATAATCTATACAAACCAAAGTTTTGTTGTTGTTGGGCCAAGTCTTATTGGTTTGACGTTATGTGAGCTATGTTAAAAAAAATGTGGCTTAGATTAAGTCCTCCATGCTTACTAGTGCAGAGTTATTGAGGCTACATACTGGCCGTGTTAGCTAAACAGAGATGACACCACCTTGATTGATGACGATAGCAATAATTTCATAATAAATTCATTAACTATAAACATTCTATAAAGTCTATCAACAACATGCATCTGCACTGGAAGTATCGAGCTAATGACTTACCCTCCTGCTCCTATGCAGCAATTCTTCGGTGGAACGGCAGTGAGGTACGGAAGCGTAGTGAGTGACCAGACACTGGTCACGTACCTAGTTATCTCGTAATTACGAGATCTTTTCTCGTAATTACGAAATAATATCTCATATTTACAAGATCAGTATTTTGTAATCAGGAGATACTGATCTCCTAATTACGAGATAAGCTGTCAGATTTTTTTTTTTGGTGAATGTTTGAAGAAAAAGAGTTGCCACAAAACATGAAAATAGGTTATCTGAGTTTTCAGGTCAGACCTTCCATCCCTCCACCGCTTCGTTGTTTGAAGTGTCAAAGATATGGACACATAGCTACAGTTTGCAAAGGGAAGCAGAGATGTCCAAAATGTGGGGAAGATCACAAGTTTGAAGTAGAAAAACTGAGATTATTTGTAGCAAATGTTATCAACTGCACTGACCAAGCCAAGCATAAAACTGATTAAAATAATAGTGAGAGGAGCTGAAAAGTTTTTGGGGTTTAAAGAGGGATCATGGGAGAACATAAACAAAAAGTTGGAGGTAGATGGGAGACCAGGACCACCAGCTGATATATGTTAATATTACAATGGAATGCAAGAAGTTTAATAGCTAACGGACAGGAACTTAAAGGTTATATTGACAGTCTTAAGGAACAACCAGAAATCATTTGTGTTCAGGAAACATGGTTAAAAACAACTTTAGATTTTGGGATCAAAGGATATAATAGTGTAAGAAGAGATGGACAGGAGGGAGGTGGAGGAGGATGTGCAATATTTGTAAAGCAAGGGATACAATATCAGGTATTAGGGAGAGAACTTGAATACATAGTAATTGAGATATGGGAACAAGAATGTAAATTTAAAATAATAAATTATTATAATCAATGTAAAACATTATCAATTGCAAAAATGGAAGAGTTAACTGAATATTTGGAAGGGAAAGTAATCTGGTGAGGGGATTTTAATGCAAATAGTACATGGTGGGGTAAATGTAATGATAAAAATGGACACGTTATAGAAGAATTAATGGAAATGAAAGATCTTGTATGTAATAACGATGGGAAGGGTACAAGAATCAATGTAAGAACAGGGATGGAATCGGTGTTAGATTTAACTATTGTCTCAAATGTGATAGCTGGTATATGTGAATGGTTCATTGATAAGAATACAACAATCGGTAGTGATCATTATCCTATAGCAATAAGAGTAGGATTATATTTAAATAATAAGAATATAAAGAGCAATAAAAAACTACATTTTAATAAAGCAGACGTCAAGGAGGCGCTTTAAAGAAGAAAATGTGAAAAGCATAAAAATTGTCAAATAAAAGTCATAAAACATTTTTTGCAGATGTATATTACTATTCTTTAGTGAGTTAAGAATAGAAATAAGTAGTTTTAATACCATAATTACATTATTTATGGACACCCGGATGTATCTGTTCGCGCATGCGCAGAACGAATTGGGTAGTGACAGGCTTCAGTATTTCAGGTGTAATAATCCTCCCAGCCAGGCGGCGGCGCCCCGCAAATTCCATTCGTCAACAGAAGAAGAGTCGCCTGCGGAGCTAGCAGTGCCATAGCTAACAACGCCAGAGCTAACAGCGCCAGAGCTAGCAACGCCATAGCTAACAGCACAGAGCTAAAAGCACAGAGCTAACAGCACAGAGCCTCTGTGGATCACAAGAAGCTGCTGCGGTCTTGAAGACAGGATGGGACGTAAAGTGACTCTGTCAACATGCTCGTTGAACCAGTGGGCTCTGGACTTTGATGGAAACGTGGAGAGGATCTTGAAGAGTGAGTTGATGGTTTAATTTATTACACCAACTAAACTCAGCTCAGTGGATTGTCAAAATGTTGAAAGTTTGTCAGTGCTTCTGGAATTTAAGGGGATGTTCTCCCAGACAAAATAAGGATAGTTTTTTTTTTTTTTTTTTTTTTTTTTTTTTTTTTTTTTTTTTTTTATGAACTTTATTTAAACACAGTAAGTCCAAACAAGTAAGGCAATAACAACATTACAATTCTATGGAAGGCATAGTGGAGGCAGATTTCAGAATGGGAATACAACGTAACATTGATGAGGAAAATAAAGAATGAGTGAGTAATGATTATGAAACAATATACACACCAGGAACCTGTAAACTTAAAAAAATACTGAATTACAAAAAAAAGACAAAAAAAAAAAAAAAAAAACATGTTTCATTGATATATATATATATATATATATATATATATATATATATATATATATATATATATATATATATACAAAAAATATTATTAGGAACTATATTTATCAAACATTATACTGGGCAAGTAAAAATTGTTTCTGGCAAGTGGTAAAAATCCTTAAGGTCTCTCCCTGATGTTGCTATATTCAGTTAGATCTTTTACCAGTCTGTCTCATATTGTTGTGAGTTGATCTTCCTTTTAGGAAGCCAGATTGAGATTCTGCAATTATGTTTGAGATTCTGGATTGTAGACGTATCGTAAAAATGGATGTTAGTAATCTATAATCAGAGTTTTTGAGTGTAATGGCTCTTCTATTTTCAATCATTCTGGGCTCCTTGTCTGGTTCTGGGATACATCTAATAATTCCTTGTTTCATTGTGGAAGGTATAGTAGGACTTTTAAAGATGTCTGTAAAAACTTGATGCAGTAATATTTCTTTCTAAAAGTGTTTATAAAAGTTCCCAGTAAGTCCATCAGGACCCGATGCTTTGTTTAATGATAAACCATTAACAGCCTTATCAAGTTCTTCTATTGGAATAATGTTGTTGCATGTTTTTTTTGTAGTGATTGTCTATTTTAGGGATAAATGTTTCAATTTGATCAAGAAAGGTGTGAGATTTTGATTGTGAGAATTTGGAAGTATATAAATTGCTATAAAATGTAAATATCTGTTGATATTAATTTTTCATTGTTGGTTTCATCATTGTTTATTATTAAGGATTGGAGAGAATTTTGTTGTTGTCGTCTTTGTTTTTTTCTCCTTCCTCGATCCATTTGGCTCTGATCTAATAATATATAATAATAAAATAATAAAGGCTCCTTTGGCCTTTTGAATTTACATTTCATCCAGTTTATTTTGGAGGATTCCTATTTTCTGTTTGTCTTCATTTGATGGGTTTATTGCAATATATATTTAGTTGTACAATATCAAGTTCTTTTCTTTGGAGTTCTTTTTTAATTTGTTTGCTGAATGAGAGAAAATGGTCTGATCTTCTACTTTAGGAATTCCCATTTTTGAACAGGTCATTTAATTCTTCAGAATGCTTTATATTCTGGATTAATTCTTTGATTTTTTTGACAGTAGGTGTCATTTTTTGGAAGACTGTAGTTAAATGTATTTATTTGCACCTGGTTTCCAGTGTTGAGGTTTCATTTGTAAGGAAATAAGACTTTGGTCAGTTAACGGTGCAGCAGAAATGTCTGAGTTGATGTCATTGATTCATAATTCATTAGTTATAAGCCAGGAATCAAGTCTTGATTTAATGTTTGACCTAAACCATGAAAATTTGACACAATTAGGGTTAAGATGACGCCACATGTCTACTAATTTTTGTTCATTGCAAAAATGGTTAAATATTTTGTTTGGATAACTTAAGTTACCGTATTTTCACGACTATAAGGCGCACTTAAACGTCTTTTTTTTCCCTCAAAATGTGCGGTGCGCCCTTTGGTGCGGTGCACCCTATGTGTGTTGTAACTGCGACTTTTGAGACCACCTCATTGAGGAGATGATGAAAGAGTGGCTGAATGTAAGGAGACCAGGTGTTTTTTTCCCACTCATCACCATCGCTGTTAATATGTAACTCCATGCGTGCCCATCTCACAGCTGATGTGAAAAACATGGGGAAACAAATTAACGCTGTGCTCGCTGTTCAACCGCTCGACATCGGTGTGAACCGGACCCAGCAGGTGCAGCAGAAGCAGCGAGTTTACATGCAAAGTCAATGGTTGACGCGCGTATAGGTGCAGCAAAAGGTCCCGCAGCGCATTTTGAGCAGCAGGCGCAGCGGGTCGGGAGCGTTTAAGCATCTGACGCACCGCCAACGCGCTGCTGCTGCTCGAGATGGAAAAATTGAAGTTTTGCTGCTGGACGCGCCGCATCAACCAATCAGAGAAGCTGATCTGGGAGCTGACAGCGAGACAGACACAGCGCTCTGATGACATATGATATTAACGCAAATGAAAAGGGCTGGATGGATGAGGAGATGATGAAAGCGTGGCTGAGGCAGGTGTATGTGAGGAGACCAGGTGGTTTTTTCCACGCATCACCATCGCTGCGTGCCCATCTCACAGCCAATGTGAAAAAAAAGGTGAATCAAATGAACGCTGTGCTCGCCGTTATCCCGGGGGGTCTGACAAAGGAGCTTCAACCGCTCGACATCGGTGTGAAGCGGCCGTTCAAAGTAAGGCTGCGAGCGGCGTGGGAGCGATGGATGACCAACGGAGACCACAGTTTCAGGATAAGTGGAAGGCAGCGCCGGGCAAGTTACGCCACCGTTTGCGGATGGATTGTAGATGCTTGGACTAACGTGTCTGCTGGCTCTGTTGTTCAAGCTTTCGCAAAAGCCGGCATTATTTCTGAGGAGCCGCCCGGCACGGAAAGTGACTCTGACAGCGAAGAAGGGGAAATTGGCATGTCTGATTTAGCGCAGCTGTTTAATTCAGAAACAGAGGATGATGACTTTGATGGGTTTGATTAATACTTTGTAATAAATACATGAATAAAGCACAATCATACTCAGTTTTGCTCCCGCTCTATTTTTCTACCTGAAAACTTAATTCAACAGCAGCCTCTGGGCCGGGTCTCCTCCTCTTCACCGCGGTGGCTGGCAGGTGTTTTTTCATCTAAATAATCTAAATCTTGCAGCTATATTTGCTGTGATCAGTGGGAATAAAGTAGTTTTAATATGTTTTTAAGTGAGAAAGGCCACCTGAAAACTTAATAATTGCAGTCAGTTCATCCAGATTATCTATTTCTGTCGGAGGCACTCAGACCCCCACATACCAGCGGTGCACCGACAGTAGAAATCCCTTCAACAGCAGCCTCTAGGCTGGGCAGCCTCCGGGTTCACGCGGTGGCTGGCAGGTGTTTTTCATCTAAATAATTTAAACTGCAGGCACCAGGATACCGGCAATAAAAGCGAACATATTCCGTCGGCAGGTTTCAGGATTTTAAGTTAATTTAGGAGTGATCACAGCGCTGTGTCATCTGCGATGTGTCTGTCTCACGGCCAGCTGCCAGGTTTGATTAATACTTTGTAAAAAATACATGAATAAAGCACAGTCATACTCAGTTTTGGCCCCGCTGTATTTTTAAATACGCAGTAGAGGTATTTAAAGGTAGTAGAGGACATGTACCTGTATATAAAAAAACGCGCCCTATAGTCCGGTGCGCCTTATGTGTGTGTTAAATACAGAAATGGCACACATAACTGAGAGTGCGCCTTTTAGTACGGTGCGCCTTATGGTCGTGAAAATACGGTATGTTTAGAAGGACATTTATCATAATATTCTTCTTGAAGGTTAAGATCTCCACCAATTACAACCTTGTTTGTTGAGTAAAGTGATTTTAGGTGCTCTAAGTTTAGGGTTATTTCTTCTAGCAATAATTTGTACTGGTTTGGACTATTATAACCATATATATTTAACAAAATAAAAGTTAGGTTATCCAAACAGACAGTGAGGAATAACCAGTGACCTTTTTCATCCATTTTACTTTTTTAGAAGAATAGCGACCCCTGCTGACCTTGAAGAACCATAACAAAAATAAGCTTCCCCGCCCCATTGTTTAGTCCAAAAGTTGCTATCATTATGTTTTGAGTGAGTTTCTCATAAGAATATTATATTAGCATTTTTCCCTATACAAAATAAAAACAAACTTTTCCTTTTAGTCAAATCTTAGTCTCCTTGCATTAACAGAAATTAGCCAAAGTTCACTTTTCAAGTTAGACATAAGGAATTAATACAATAACAAAAAAGTAGAAAACTAAATAAAGTAAGGTTGAATAGTATTTAAATGGGTTTTACCTGAGAACAAATTGAAGTGTAGGTAACATAACTCCTGAATTGTAAGGTTATTTGAAGTTAGAACTGTTGTGTAGAACTATTCAATTCAATTCAATTCAGTTTATTTATATAGCGCCAAATTCACAACACATGTCATCTCAAGGCACTTTACAGTTCAACCAGATCATACAGTCAAATTGATACAAAGTTTTCTATCTAAGGAAAACCAGTTGATTGCATTGACTCATTGACTCAAATACAATCCCCCACACTAAGCATGCTTGTAGCGACAGTGGAGAGGAAAAACTCCCTTTTAACAGGAAGAAACCTCCAGCAGAACCAGGCTCAGTGTGAGCGGCCATCTGCCGAGGCCGACTGGGGTTCAAGGAGACAGAAGCAGAGACACAAAAAGCAGCTGTAAAAGGCGGCCCCGTCCAGGAAACACACAGCCAGGCAGACGAGCTCCAAGGCAGCTCCCATGCCAGAGGACGAAGAGAGCACATCCACTCAGTCACGGTCAGAGAAACAGGACCACACTGGAAAACAGGCCGATCTCCAACATCTATTAACAAGGGTGTTGATAGAAGCAGCACAGCTGATGTTTTTTTCCAGGATGACGTCACAGCCAAACAGGAACAGACGAGGCAAAGCTACTCTGAGGAAAAGCAGAGAGAGCAGAAGGTTAGAGATTGAACTAACAGATTCTGCAGAATAGGAGAACAGAGAGAGAATGAAGCAGAATGATGAAATGGGGGTCCCTATGTCTTCCAAAAGTCTAA